ATGGGTTGTTATGGGGCATCTGGGGGGTGTCTATGGGTTGTTATGGGGCATCTGGGGGGTATTTGTAGGTTGTTATGGGGCATTTGGGGAGTATTTATGGGTTATGGGGCATCTGTGGGGTATCTATGGGTTATGGGGCATCTGTGGGGTGTCTATGGGTTGTTATGGGGCATCTGGGGGGTATCTGTGGGTTGTTATGGGGCATCTGGGGGGTATCTATGGGTTATGGGGCATCTGGGGGGGATCTATGGGTCTCTGGGGTGTTGTGGGGCGTTGGGTCTCTGGGTTGTTATGGGGCATTTGTGGGTTATCTGTGGGTTGCTATGGGGCATCTGGGGGGTATCCATGGGTTGCTATGGGGCATCTGGGGGGTATCTATGGGTCTCTGAGTTGTTATGGGGTATCTGTGGGTTATTTATGGGTTGTTATGGGGCATCTGTGGGGTATTTGTGGGTTGTTATGGGGCCTCTGTGGGGTATCTATGGGTCTCTGGGTTGTTATGGGGCATTTGTGGGGCATCTGGATTATCTGTGGGTTGTTACAGAGCATCTGTGGGGTATTTGTGGGGTGTGTATGGAGCATCTGGGGGGTATCTATGGGTTGTTATGAGGTATCTATGGGTCTCTGGGTTATTATGGGGTATCTATGGGTCTCTGTGGGCTACATACAGGAGTCTGTGGATCTCTAGGTTATTATGGGGTCTCTGTGGGGTATTATGGGGTCTCTGTGGGGCACGAGGGTGATCAGGCGTTAACGAACTCACCGATTCATTCATCGGCCGCCCCCCGCAGCCCCACGTTTGGCTCGTGCCGCCCCTCCTCCCTGGTTTTTTTTTTTGACGGGTTCTTTTGTGCCTTCCCAGATCGTCCGCACCTTCCGCATCGAGACCAGGAAGGCCTCCAAGGCGGTGGCTCGTCGGAAGGTGAGCGGGGAGGGCAACCTTCACCTCCCACCCCTTCCTTCTCCACCCCTCCGTGGGGGAGCGTTTCCCTTCCTTTTCGGCTGCTCGGTGTGAGTTGGGTTCCCCTTTTCCCACCCCTTTTCCCCCCAGAACTGGAAGAAATTCGGCAACTCGGAATTCGACGCCCCCGGCCCGAACGTGGCCACCACCACCGTGAGCGACGACGTCTTCATGACCTTCATCACCAGCAAGGAGGTGGCTTGGGCCCGAGGAGGGGAGCTCATGGGGTGGCAGGGACCACAAATGAGGCCGTATGGGGTGGGGGTCCCGTGGGATTCACCAATCTCTTGGCCCCTTCCCCAGGACCTGAATTGCCAGGAGGAGGAGGATCCCATGAACAAGCTGAAGGGGCAGAAGATCGTCTCGTGCCGCATCTGCAAGGGCGACCACTGGACCACGCGCTGCCCCTACAAGGACACCCTGGGCCCGATGCAGAAGGAATTGGCCGAGCAGCTGGGCCTGTCCACGGGCGAGAAGGAGAAGCTGCCCGGAGGTACCAAACACCCCCTTTTACCCCATTCTGGGGGGGAGGGAGGACAAACAGGGGTCGCTGTCGGTTTGGGGGGCAGCCTCACCTCCTTTCTTGTCTCTTTTCCTGCCCTCAGAGCCGGAGCCGGTGCAGGCTCAGCAAAGCAAAACGGGCAAATACGTCCCCCCCAGCCTGCGGGACGGAGCCAGCCGCCGCGGAGAGTCCATGCAGCCCAACCGCAGGGGTGAGCCGGGCCACGGGAGGGGGGTATGGCTATGCCAGGGGCAGG